GTTCTTTAACACAGCCGTAAAGAAACATTTCCTGCAGCATGTCGCAGAGAAAAAAATACAATAGCACCTGTATGCACCTGTATAAGGCTGTTACAGAGCAGTGTGATTCCCTAGCCTTTGGCAGAAACAGGTGTGCCGTAAGGGAATTATTGATTAATATTTGGTTGCTATTGGAAGGTTAACGAATTAAGATGCAGGAGAAGATAACCTAGATAATATCCCAGGGTCCCAAATTTCATAGACAGTTCATACAGTAGCAACCCCAGCTATCTGCCTCTGAACGCAAGCCCCAGTGTCTTCCTTCATAGAGCTACTAGCACACAAGCACTCATTGAGGTATCATTCCGTTCTGGAGCTCTTTGGTCAAATTGGTGGCTGTCTTGCACAGATCTCACAGTGCTGTTCAAACTGTAGGTGCCAGAGTTTCTGCAATGCCACTCGGATTTTATTCTTTGGCACAGCATCTTAGTTTTCAAACCAGCTCTCTTTGCTTCTATTGGCAGATGGGGGGGGGGGGAGTTTGGCAGATGTGTCTTCTGTAAAGCAATGCCACCAAACTTGCAATATTAAGGCAGGATTTTAAACAGTAGTAGTGCAGCTGTAGCAGTAAATCAAATGCAGTCCTGCAGCAGAAATCTGTCCACATTATTGCAGTGAGCCTGCTGTGCTGTCCTGTGATATTCTTCAGGCCAGTTGATGGCTGTGAAAATGTGTTCTTTCTCTTTATCCTAAAAATGCCTCTTACTTTTACTGTGGCTGTGTACATGTACAGTATGTGTCTGTGAGTGCTTAGTGTACTTTCTGGGCAGCTCTGGTATTACACAGCAGACATTTTAAGTTATTTTAATTCAGGGTTAGATTGAATTTTAATACTGGAAGTGTTGAGTGGCATTGTTGAATGGCCTGCAAGTGCAATCAGTAGATTAATAAATCCATCCTTTGCTGTTTGTAGTTGTGGTTGCCAGATTGTCTCATTACTCACTAGCCTTATGTGCTTTATGAGAGGGCCCTGATGAGTGTTAATTCATTAACAGGATGTTAAATAAAATGAGTTATGTACATACTTTAAAGCAGCTTCTTTTTGGAACACGATCCTCTCTCTCTCCGATTTGGCAGTTTTTGTTTTTCGCTTGATCTTCTGCTCTTTGTATTGCTGGATTCTTTTCACTACAAAGTGCAGAAAAAAGGAAATCTCTTCAGCTGCATCTGCATAATCTGTCGTTAAAGTATGAGGATTTAGTGCTGGCAGTTCCCCGTGAGCAGGGTACGTGGATGTTGCCCTGTGCATTTCTTCTAGTAGGACATCAAAGCTTTTCTGCAACGATGCAGATAATGAGATCTTTTAATCTAGCCTCTGAATTTATGAATGACCTAAAATTCATTAGTGAAGTGGTAGTTAAACTTCCGTAGCCTGGGCTGGAAAAACTCTTAATTCCTTTTTCAGATGGGTATTTATTCTGCTTTCAGCGCATTCCATCAATTTGCGTCCTTTTTAGGCAACCTTTTTGCATGCATGTCATCTGTGTGATTCCCCTTCCTATCCCTTCCTATCCCTGTACTTTAAGCGAAAGGAGTGTATGGGAATCATCACTTCCTGTATGTGATGCAATAACTATATTTAGCTGATGCTCAGGCGAAACGAATTGTGGGAATTAACCCCATTCAGAAGCTTTGGTGTGGTTCCAGAAGGGAATTAGTAAAAGGTCCCCATAAACACGTCTTATTATGGGGACACATATTCATTTCTTAAAGCTGCACATTTAAGAATCTCTTGACCAGGGGTCTCAAACACATTTCCTGGAGGATATTGTGTCCTTAACCTAATTTAATTAAGACTTATATTTAGACTTTCTAAATTAGACATATATGGGATTTTTAAGGTCTTTTGCAGTTGAGTGCATAAGGCAGGGGTGCGGTCATTGTCCTGTAAATCTCCACAGAGCCTGTTTGGATGTTATACTGCTAATTAAAAAATTAGCTCAGCTATGTAACTTGGACCTTGGACTGTGTGTAAGGGAAAGTGTCCAGAACACTCAAAAGTCCTCCAGGAATTGAGTTTGACACCCGTGCTCTGTGATTGTTTGCTTTCTACAACAAGAATGCATATTCTAATATTGCAACATTGTTACAGAATCCTTTTCCCTCTTTTTTCAAGGCTAGCTGTAAATGCAAAATAAAGGCACGGGTGTACAGGATAAATGAGTCACACTTCCATTTGTCTTTCTCGGCCCGCAGTTTGAAGGAAGCGAGTCCTTGTCTAACAGCAACCTGTGTCAAAGGTCACGACCCAGCAGCGACCTCAACAACAGCTCCACGCAGTCTCCGGCCCACTCCAAGGTCCAGCGCAGCATATCGGCCAACCAGAAACAGCGGCGGTTCAGTGATCATGGTGGGGATGACATTCAACCAAGTAAAGTAACACACAGTTCCCGACTCTGAGTGTGCAGTGATGTCGCTAATCCCTGCAGCTGCTGCAAAGCCTTCTGCATCCCCCTGCTGGCCGGCTGGCACCCCTGCAGCTTGCAGCCCATCTGAAGGCAGGACTTCCCTTGCATGCCCATGGAGCTGCTTCCCTGCCTTGCCGCTGGGCTGTGTTGTTTGTTTTTTAAAGTTTGCCGCTTTGAGAACAGATAGAATGTCTTGAGCGCGTTTTTATTCTAATTGAGGGGCAGCACAGTGGCGTGGCGGGTAGTTCTGCCGCCTCGCAGCTCTTGGATCCTGTGTAAATTCTGGACTGGAGTGCCTTCTGTGTGGAGTTTGCATGTTCCCTTGTGACCAAGTAGGCTTTTTGTGGGCATTCTGGCTCCCACCTCCCCAAGGCACACAGTCTAGGTCAATTGGCATCAGTAAATTGTCCCCTATATTTGTCTGTGAGTGCATGGGGATATGTGTGTCCTGCAGTGGACTGGTGTCCAGGGTGTGGTCCCATCTACTGCCCTGTGCCTGTGAGGTTATGGCTCTGACTCACCATGACACTTACAGGCAAAGCAGTTACAGAAGATGGATTGATCTTATAATTAATTTAAAAGCATCGCTCACACTGCATTTAAAATGGCTTTAATGTACTGAAACCGGTAACTACAAAAGCATAGAATGCATTTTTTTTCCCCATAACTGCATGGTAAGTTTGTAAATGATAAAAGTTATCTTAATGTAACATTCAAAGCATTGCATAAGCTTTTAGAAAGCACTCCTTAATGAGGAGTCCCTGTTTTTCTTTTTAAAGTCTTACTGTAACAACACCAGGAAAATTCCTTGTACAAGTGCTTCTGAGAACCTGTTTTCGCCATCTAACCTTGACTTGACTGAGCAGAATGCCACCCAGTTTTCTGAAAGCAGCTGTGAAGCTTTTAGGTGCACATAGAGGAGGGCAACATACCTGAGGCAAGGTCTGGGAGGAAATGGATATTTGATTGTTCATTGTTCAAACATAGCTCTGGAGAGGAAGAAGAACGGTGTCAGTGGGCGTGAGTGGACCGGTGGCCGCTGTCTGCCGTGTGTGAGCTCTGGTCACTCTGCTTTCACAGCTGGTCCCACCATCCCCCCTGCAGTCTCCTATACCAAGAGGGCTCAGGCCAACAGCGTGGAGAGCGACCAGAAGGAGGACTGGGATCCGGCACGCAAGCTGGGCACCACTGGCTCCAAGAGCGACATGCCCACCAGCCCCCTGGTGGTCCCGGAGAGGAAGAAGTCTGCCACAGCTCCAGGGGTAAGAGAGAGAGAGATCACTCTGTCTGCACTGGGCAGGGTTTGGACCATTTCAGGTTTTACAAGCTATAATCTTATGGGCTGTACATGCTTACCCTGCTGTTTAGTATTCGGGAAACAATAAGTGAATCATGAAAGGTTTTAAATGTATTGGACAGCTCTGTCAGTGGAGTCTTACTTTTTGCCTTGCTCATGGGGTGGGGACAAGTTAATTTCACACCAGGTTCGCCCACAGGATGACTGGCTTGACTGTCTTTCTTCTTCATATCAGGGAGGCCATAAATGATCATTCTCGTTTTACTTTGCAAGGGGATAGCAGTGATGCGGGGAGAAGCCCGTTAATTACCCAAGCCAGCACTGGGGAAGAAACTGAATTTCAAAACCAGAACTGGCAACTCGAACATCATACTTTCTCTTTTACTTTAAAGTGTGGTTTCTATGCATGTGGATTCCAGCAGCAGTACCTGGCAGGAGGAGAGGCAATGGGCTTTTGTTCTGAACTGAAGTACTGATTCTTCGTCTCTTCCTGCTAACCCGGCGCGTCTTACAGTTTCTCGCTTGACACTCTTGTCCGTGTCTGCCTGTCTCGCAGAACAATGTGCTTCCCGGAGGGGGGATGACCCGCAGGAACACTTATGTTTGTGAGCGCTCCAGCACCGACCGCTACTCCGCTATTCCGAACGGCAAGGACAGCAGGTACGGCGGGCTGGACATCTCCTTTCTCCGTCGAGAGACACACGGGGATCGTGCTGCCACCTGCTCTTTGAGCCCAAATGAAATTTGGCCCTGCCCATATCCTGGCTTCACTGGGCCGTGTCGGCAAAATGGGTGCTAAACTGCCAGACTTGTTGGGGGGGTTCTCTTTTACATTCGGTTAATAGGGAGAGTTCATCTCAAAGCACCTAACTGTGTTTTGTGCAGGCTACATGTGCCAGCAACGCAGCACCAGGCGCAAAATGAAGGACACAAGTGTGTCAGTCTGCCGTGCAGTGGGCTGCTAGTTATTCGACTGGCTGCGGGAAAATGACATTGTTCGCTGTGTTAGCAGCGCTGGAAATGTTATTGTGGTACAGTACCTAACAGTACAACATAGACTTTGGTTCCTGCTCTACTGATTGACCGTGACCAGTCTGTAGTGTACTGCAGGAGTGTGGCTTTGTTATTTTTTCCAGCTGGTGTTTGTTCTCACCGCTGTTCTGTCTCTTGTTCTGTTCTGTTTTTTCTTACCTCTCGCTTGGGGAAAAGCCTGACCGAAATGTCCGCTTGTGCAAGCAGCACCCCCTCCTCGGCGGCCGCGGCCCCCGCCATGCCATCCACCCGGCCGCGCCACGTCAAGTCCATGTCTGCGTCGGGGCACCCCATTAAAGTGGCCCTCCCCCCCATCGAGGACGGGACCGAACCCTACCGGCCTGGGTGAGCTGGGGCACATTTACCAAGTGGGAACTACGTGCAAGTGCGCTTCAAACCAAGAACAGGAGGCACTTCTTTACACAGAGGGTTGTGGGAGTAGGGAACAACCTCCCAGCCGTCCTTTAAAGCTGATGGCCTGTATTTTTAGATATGGCTGGATGAGATCGTGGGATCAGTATAGCTACTAAGTACCAAATAGGTTACAGGGGCCAAGCAACTGCTTCAGCAAAATGAAATTTGTGTGAGTTGGAAAGTGTCTTTCCAAAAACAAATGTTCTTTTCAGGGACAGCTGCTCAGTTTCCTTTTGTGCGGGCATGCCAAACAAGCAACTTTACATTAAACTTGCACACGGTGTGCTTAACGTGAGTATACAGACGAAGATGTAAAACATTTAAGACAATTGAGCACTTTAAAGCACATAGGTGCAGCTCGGGATCCTTCCTTCTGTAGAGGCAAGACAAGTGTCTCCCGAAAAGTTTGATTTACATCTGACATAACATTTTGTCTACATGGCGGCTTCCTTTTTGAGACTGGTTGATCAAGCCTTAATTCTTTGGAAGAGAAGGGTTTGTCCTTTTATGGAATTGTCTGATTTGAGGTGTCTGCAGTATAGAAAGTGGTAAATTACAAAGGAATTCTAAAGCTGTGAGACGTGCCTGAAGCTCTTGCGAACGGCTTGGCTGAATCGTTTTGTCAGTGAAATGTTCTGGGGAGCTCACAACAATAAAAAAGCAATTTCAGCCCTTTTGAGTTTTCTGGATCAATTATCGGCATCCGATAGCCAACAAAAAGAGAATTCTTTTTTTCCTCAAGTAAGGTAGTCATCTATAAAAATGGGATTGTCTGAGCACAGTTAAGGCACACCGAATTTTGTACTTCTCTTTGGGACGAATACAGTGCTCAATAGTCACTGATAAATAAGTATAGTTTAACGCAGCATTTATTCAACTGAAAGAATCGCCAAAAGCCTTGCAAAAGTGCAAATACTGCCTGTCACCTCATTTTTCAGGTGAAATGACTGGTCATTGATTGGAGGCTGTGCGGTGGGCAACCAAATTAGGGGCTCGCACTGCTCGAAATGAGTGGATAAAATGGTCGATCATTAAGCAATCCCTGAAAAGATATTAATTTCTGCGCAAGCACATTTTCTCAGCTGATGGCTTTCGATCAGCGGTGTGGCTGAATGGTGTACGAGAGGCAGTGCCAGGGTGGGGGCGTGGGGGCGCAGTGGACCTGTGTTGCGCGAGGCAGCTGGCGGGGC